CGGATTTTGTCTCCTTTTAATTTCGTAAAGTCGAGTCCAAAAACTTGTGCCCCTTTGGTATCATCAACAACTCCATCTACCGTACACTTTCCATATATTTTATCCTCTTATTCTCTAATATTTTCTCTTTAATAGTGTTTTTTTATGTGTTATTCGTTTACGTAATCAAATAACAGATGAGATCAAGAGAAAAGAATCAAATCATGCACAAAAAAAAGGGTTGAGGGACGAGTAACTAACTTTTTCTTAATTAGCTCTAACACGAATTTGAGATACTTAGCTAGTGACATGACGTTTCTATCGGTATCTTTATTTATTTTCATCAAAATGCTAACGAATAGTGAAATCATTAAATAAACATCTCAAAACATCGCAAACGACTGTAAAAATAGTTATTTCAGCTTCAATCAGTAGAATTGATAATATATTTCACTAATTTTCAAATATGCAATGATTACGAAAATGTGTAACCACCACCAAATAAATAACAAAAACATCTCAAAACAGAAATAATTAAATTTTCTTAAATCCCGACATTAGTCCTAGATTTCGGTATGAAATTCATACGGTCAAAAGAAAAAAAGAAAATTGTTTTAGAAAATTCTGGATGGGATATATTAACTTCAGATGACTACCTTAGCAAAAAAAAATAAAAATAAAAACCTTCATTAGACCGAAGATTGTACGTACCAAACATGGAATCTTTATTTTCGTGCCCATTAGTAAAAAAAAAAAAAAATTAGTGGACCCGAAAACGAAATAAGATCCTCATGAGTCATGACAAATGCCTATCCTGACACAAAAAGTTATGTCGCCATGGTATATTATGCATGACACAAAAAGCAATACACAAAAAAAAATGGAAAATCAAAATTACTATGTGATTAATTGGATACAAAAATGAGACATGTTTAAGGACCCCTTACCCGTTTGATCGTAAACGCTTCTACGACTATTCCATGATAAAAGTAATAGTTTGGTTGACTATATTAGAATATTTACCTTCATTTATATGAAAATGAAGATACTATATGAATATATACATTATGCGTGGTTGTTAGTCAAAGTAAAAGCAACAACAATAAATGAAAAAATGCACCCATCACTGAGCAAGCTTATAAGAACATCACGTAGATGCAAATACTACTAAATAGATTTTAGTGCAACTAACTTTCAGTATTTGTGGTAGATTGGAGTGTTATAACTTTTTTTTTTTGGCATTTTCTTGTGTACATATGATCAGTAGAAGTATATAGTGAACGAATTTATTGTTGTTTGCTACAATAATGTTTTGATGAAAGATTTGATACGACAGTATATAAAAAAAAGTCACATTAATTCATGAAA